ACAGTCTCTCACAGAAGTGACATTACAAATCATCAGAAAAAGGATGAGATATTTAATACAGGGTCCTGGGAAAATAGACTATTTGAAGGGGAAAAAACATTAGAGCTATAGTTCACTTAATAAAGATCTAAATGTGAAATTCAAAACTACAAAAAAAATTTTAAGAGAGTATTTCACAAAATACTTTTATAGAACTGGAGTAGAGAAGGGTTTCTTAAATGAGACACAAGAAGCCCAAAACATATACAAATGTTCCTATATTTACTATGTTAAAGTTAAAAATTGACTGTTGAAAGACATAAAAAAGTTCTAAGACAAGCCACAGACTGAGAGAAACATTTGCAATGCATGTGACTGATAAAGGATTTAGGATCTAGAATATTTACAAAATCCTTAAAAATCAATTTAAAAAAGAAAAGCAGTTCAATCAGAAAATTGGCAAAGGAAATAAACAGGTAATTCACAGAACTGAAACTGGACTGTCCAACAAAGATATGAAAATACGTCCAGCCTCATCAATAGTTGGGAGAGGCAAATTAAGGCAATGAAATACCATCTCCCTTCCATGAAGGTGGTAAAAGTTAAGAAGCCTGACAGCAAGTTTGTGATGGGGAAATAGGATCTTCCACACACTGTGGTCAGGCTACTTGGAATAATCACTTTAGAAAGCAGTTTGGCAATACCTAGGAAGGCTGAAGGTACTCATAACAAAACAGAACAGAGTGGATGATAAAAAATAAAAAGGTAAGAAAGTGGATACTTCCCCTGTGCCCGCCCTGACAGCATTCCCCTCCTTGGACCCCAAATCCTGAATCTTGTTTATGTTGCCACTATTTTGCTTTGCTTTGCTTTACTTTTCACCGCATATTACATGCCTGCAGGAACTATAAAACTTAGTTTTCTGTGGTCTTTGGACTTCATATCATTGGATATCATAATGTATGTCTTACTTGGTGTCTTGCTGTTTTAACCGAATGCTATGCTTTCTGAAATTAATCCAAATGTATGTGTGGCTCACTCATTTTTTCACTGTTAACATGGAATACTGCAATTTATTTTTTGTTTTTTTGAATACTGTAATTGATATGTAAGCAGTGCTGAAAGGGACATTCCTGAACATGTCCCATGGACATCTGTGGGAGTGTCTCAAGCTTCTCTAGATTTAGGCGAAGGCGTTTATGTTCCAGAAGTGAAGTGGCTACATCAGGGGATGTGAGCTTCATGAACTTCACTAGATGAGGCAGAATCGTTACCAATATACATCCTAGGCAGCAGTGTGCACATTTCCATTGCTGCAGATCCTCACTAACACGTGATGTCATCAAAGTTTAAATTTTTACCAACCTCATGGGTATGCAAGGTCGTCTTGTAAAGGTTTTAATTTGCATTTCCTTCCTAATAAACTTGAATATATTTTTGCCCTTTTTTGCTATTCATGTTTGCCATGAAATGCCTGTTCATGTCTTTTGTCTATTTCTCTATTGACATGTTTGTATTTTTCTTATTGATATTTTGGAGGTTTTTTTTTTTTCAACATAGTTTGTATACTAATTCTTTGTTGGTTGTATGTGTGACAAATAACTTCTCTTGGTTTGTAGCTTTTTCTTAAACTTCCTTTTTGCAATATAGAAGTTGTAAATTCTTAGTGAGACTGAAGACTTTCTATTTTGTGGGGGAGTAGGAAGAGCCTTACTTTTCAAATTTGCATTTCTTTGATCACATGTAAGGGTGAATGCTTTTCATGTTTATTGACCATTTATATTAATTTTTGACAGATTCTTAATGTCCTTTTGCCCATTTTCTATTGCTTTAGAAGGGACTTCATATGTTAAGGGTATTAAATCTTTGTCATATTTTTGGGAATATTTCCCCTGGTTTTTCACTACTTTTAAATTTTGCTTAAAATTTCCTTTATTGAGTATGTATTTAAACCTCTCATTCTTCCTTTTCCTGCTTTTTTTTTTTGCACTTGACAAAAATTAATTCATCCAGAATTAATTTTGTTATGAAGAACTGACATTAATCAACTGTCCCTTCTTTATCTATTGACTTGTGATATCATTATTATGCACTAAAATTTTTATGTTCATTTGTGTCTGTTTCCAGGCCATATAGTGTATTAATTATAATTAGTTTATCAACTCTTGCCCAAGATGCGTCCTTTGTTTGTTCTCTCTATAGTAAGGCTTACTGTTTGGTAAGGTGAATTCCTTTGGTTAATCCTTCTTTTCGAACTTTCTTGGGTTATCTCAGAATAGGCATTCTCCATTTGTGTCATTAAATATTTCTCTTGTTTCCCAGAGTGTTATCATGTAAACAAGATGCAGCTGCTCAATTTTCAAAGTGTTAGAAAACAAAATACTTTCCTCATAACTTTTCAGGGACTCGGGGGGAGAACTGAATGCTCCAAGATCAGAGCTTGGGACGGTAATTAGTGCTGTACCGCTGACAGTGTGTCCTGCTTGACAAAGCATTTCGTGGGGCTTCCGAGAGTTCTACTTCAGTCGCTGTCAGCCAAGGTATCTTCTAAACTAACAGGGCCCGTTGTGGTAGCTCTCTGTCTCTTCGGTGGACAGAGGGAAAACAGGCTTTCAAGGCTTTCATGGGCAATGTCGTTCTTCCTGCTGGAAAAATCGAACACCTTGATGGAGGTTGTGCTGAAATGATACTGTGATACAGGAATCAATGATGATGGCACCTCGGTGTCGTCTCCCCATCACAATGGTTAGATGGAGGCCTGTTCAGGCCTTGGTTGTTGAGTTTGAGAAAGTGGAGGGCCAGTTTCACAACATAAAAGTTGGGCTGGACAAGTGTTATTACCTAACAGGCAGGGCTAGTTTTCCCGCATTCTGGAGCCCAGCCTGGGGGTGGGGAGGGAGGCTTCGGGGGTGCTCTGTGTCGGGGGAGAGGTCAGCAGGGCTCCAGCCATGGGTGTGGGTGGTGTGGAGCGACTCCTGAGCCTCCTCTTCAGCAAACACCGAAGTGTCCAAGGTCATGCCACAAGAGACAGCTCTATGTTTTCATCCCAGAATAAGAAGTCAAACCCCTAGGGGGTAAAATGGGATCCTAAGTCTATTTGAGTATCTTATGAGTGTAAATTTACGATAGAGAGAATTTTCTAGTCTCTGAGTGCAGATTAAATCCTGGGCAGTCCAGCTGTGCTCAGGGGTCCTCCTAGTTGGTCTCATGTGGGGGCCCAGACATGAGAGAGGCACAGCTGAATAGGAGGTTAACCTAATCACCCCTGACCGGGGACAGCTGGTGACAGACACAATTTTGTCAAATCTTATACCATCCAGAATAAGTCACTTATTCCTTTTGTATCTCTGTTTCTCACTTATAAGATGAGGAAACAGACGTTTGTCTTCTCACAGGCCAGAAATGTTTTTTAACAAATCAGATAATGCTTGCAAAAGTACATTTGATAAAATGGTGCTAAACCAATTTAGAAAAAAATTCTATTCTGTATATTTGTTTGCACATTTTTCTGTCCTTTTGAGTCATTCAGAAAAAGAGAAGGAAACCATTAAGGGGAAGGGCATGGTTCTGCCAAATGCTGAACCTGGGTGCTTGTGGAATAGCCATCTTCGATGACAATACAAAAAAAAAATACGGTGCTGTGAATTGTAGCAGAACCATCTGCTGATCAATGGCTCTAGTAGCTTCTTTCTCTGAATGACCCAAGACACTCCAAAAGCAAAAATTTGGTTGGCAAATCTTGATGTACTTGTCAAATGAAATGACTCACAGCAGGGCAAGTTAGTAGCTGCTGATAGAAAAGCAAAGAGAAGATTTAGCTGCATGTTGTGGACTGGCAGCCTGAGAACCAAGTTAGACTTGGGGATATATTTTGTAGAGCCTCACAATTTTGGTTGGTATTGTGTCGGAAAATGCTTGAATTGTCAAAATTTAAAAAGCTGGAAATTTCATATGGAAACAACTGGTTAGAGCCAAGTAGCTGCCCTGCCCGCTCCTTCAGACAGAACTGTTCTTTGTCAGGGTTGCCATAGTCTACATCCCTAATACCCTCTCCTGGTTCTCACTGACAGCGTCTAACTGGTCCCTCCAGTCCTTTGACTTCATAACCCCTGACTTTAGGACCCTCAAAAGGAGTCCTTAGGTTTTAAAGTCAATGGAAAGAAAGCTAGTTCAACATTATCTGAGGTAAACTGTTTTTCTTTTAATAGACATTCATAGATCACGTTAGAATAACAATCTTTCCTTTGTTTTAAAATGCACTGTAGTTGAATAAACTTTCACTTATATAACAATGGAGATATTCAGCTATTCCTATAGCTGCTAAAGCTCTCTTATGAAAGGCAAAGAATTCACTTTTCTATGGAAACAGCAACTACTAACTGCCTACCAAACTTTGCAAAAAGCAGCAGAATACAACGTGCAGTGGCAATTAGAATACTGCACTTGAAAACAATAGGAACTTTTAAGGAATTTGATTGCTGTTAACACCACCTACACATTTGGGGAATGTGTATTTTGGGAAGTTAACAGTATCAGCAGGATGCCACTGTTTCAAAGCATATTCCCTGGTTCAACAATGGAGAAAAAAGTCCTCAGTGGACAGATTGTACATAAACCGTGAGAGGGAGCACTGCGGCAGTGCTGGGAAACTGGGAGAATACAGTGACATTAAAGAGTTTGACTTGGTTTTTTTAGCCAGTACTGGACGTTAACCATCACTGGGCTGTTTTAGACAATTTCCACTGGCACGGTCTCACCTGGTTATTGTGTCTCATCTCAAGGAGTTTCAGTTCTTCAGTGGAAGGCAATTCCTTAGCAACTCCTACGATCAGCTGGTAAGTTTGATTTGCCTTAAGTAGTTGACCTCAAAAATGCAACAGTCTGCATATGCAAATACACATCATCACCACCATCTGACTATGTCATTCTGGACCAAAAGCTGCAAGAGAGCTTGAATCTCTCTTCCCTTAGTAAGAAAACCAACCCCCACCCCTCAAAAAAAAAATCAATGAAATACAAAGTTGATTTGAGTATTTTATTTATAAATGTACATTTACTATAAAAGCTGTTGCATTTTAGACAACTTTTTGTTTTTTTTTTTTTTTTACTATTTCTTAGAGGCATTTTAGAATAAATATTTTAAATGAAGGTTAGTGTAACTGATATAGAACATTGGCCCACCCAGAACAGTAACATCTTTTGGACGGACTCACATATGAGGTGGATCATTTCAGCTCGTTAAGTCTTACACTGAGTATAGATAACTATAATACGTATTGCATTAATACCACTACATAGAAAGAAGGAAGAAATGTCATGAAAGTTTGCTAGTGAAAAACAAAGAGTTGCCCATTTTTCTTTTTCCTTATGGAAGAGAAGGGGCTAGCTTTTGAAGTATAAGAAGAAAAAAAAGATACACTTCCTCAGGAACCATAAATCACTCACTTGCCTCATCTGTTTCTTAAACAAACACATTTACGCTGTAGCTCAACAAAGTAGAGCATCTTTTTTTTCCTGGGATCTCAAAGATTGTTTGAAAAGAAATAGATCATACTCATTATGCTGCACTGGAAAAAACAAGATCGAGTCTGCCCAAGCTGCCATGTAACAGACTCCAAATGAAATAGAAATCAAATATAAATAGAAACAGTTGGCAATTAGAATTTAGAAAATGTTGGAGATTATTCTGTGCTGGTGACTATTGTTCATTATGGGAAAGCACATTTCGCAGCTGGAGAATGGGGCTTTATTTTTCTTGACTTGATTCTAGCTTCAATACATGTACAATGAGTCTCACTAAGAAATATGTATAAATGGGTTTGTGAAACTAGAAGAGAATGTGCAATATTCATATAATCCTTACATAACAGATGGAATTCCACATGTAAAAAGTGTTCTATAAAAATCGGTTATGAATGATCATATTGTACATGTTTTGTGCAGTATTTGCAGTAATGTACTCTGCTAATGTCATGCAAAGTGTAAACGCCCACATTATCAAAATATTTAATAAAACATGCAGGTGGTTAATCAAAATATTGGACTTACTCTGTACATTTTCAAAACGTTTTTCTTTTTAATTTTTTTCAATTTTTCTTTTTTTAGTATTTTTTCCCCCTGTCAAACAAGGAACAGCTCTATGAGAAGTCTTGAGAACTTGGAAATGACTTCACCTCTCTTCAATGCACTGCATCCATAATTCATCATTGACTATGTGCAACAGCTTTGCATTTTCTAAGGCACAATTTTTAATGAAATGATGTGTAAATTTCAATCTAACAACAGCTCATCCAAATGACAAAATGGTCAAAGTTTCTCCAGTGGCTGAGGAAATTTCTGCACTTAACATGGAACCCGCATGCAGAGAACCGTCTAGCATGTAAATAAATAATTGCTAGCCATACTCAATAAGACACAGAAAAAATTATTGCTTACATAACAGAAAAAACATCTACTTGATCTTCTTTTATGACTACATTAACCTATTCAGAGTATATCCATAGTCTACATTCACAAAATGTCATCTTCACTTATTTGCCATCATTTTAAGGCAGAATAAATAGTTCCCCTTTCCCCAGTCTTGAAGAAAACAGCCTGGAGATCTAAAACATGATGCTTTTTAGTAACTTGATTCCTCTCTGGGCCAGATGAAACTCATCACGCAGGGCAAACAATAAAGCAGCTCTCCCAAGAGTTCCTTGCTAAGCTTCTCCATGAGCAAGGTCCAGAATTCTCGGTAGTAAAGGGAGGTGGTGACAGAGGAGAGTGACGGAGAGCAGGTATCCATGAGAGTGGAAGCTAGGTTCCTGCTGATTGCACACTAGTGGCTTATCACATCAAATGTCATTTGGATTCTGTTAGGATGGACATAATGCTTTTCCTTAGCCACTTGTGCTTCAGACCCCCAAGAAGAACTTGCAGACACGGGTGAGCAGTGGTCACACCTAATGAGGGGCTGATCTCGATGAGAACTTCTATTCGCCTCATACTGAGCCTCTTATTGAATCCAGAGCCGGCAGAGAAGCATGCAATAAAGCCCTCTTAGCTAGCATGGACCCACCACTCTCTGGAAGATTAAACTTCCTCACAGATTTTGGTAATAACTTTGGAAATGATGACTGAATTATGTCCCTCTGATTTCTTCCTACCCTCGAGCAATGTCCCAGAGTGTAAGCCAAGCCGATATTGCAAGGGTTCTCTTTATTTGATGGGCCAGCCTAAATTAATGGCCTAACTTCCAAAGTACACACAATCTAATACTAGTGGTGCAATAATTTATTGGTATGACTTCTACCTCAAAAGGTAAGTAACACAAACGTCTCAGGATTACAGTATATATTATCAGACTAGCATCCTTGCATTAAAAACAAGTTACAGCTCAGAGCTATATGATGTGATTTTTAGTTTCTAAAATGCATTAACTGTATGCTCCTGTCTCAGAAGACTGCATGTCTCAAATTGGCATGTTTTGCATTTTCTGCAGCTCAATTCTGTAAACATAGGGTTTAATTCCTAGAAATGCTAAAAAAAAAAAGTTTATTGCATCATTTATCTCATTAATTCCCAAAGAGGAGAATAACACATTTTAAACCGTAAGCCTGTTTGACCACACTAAGACCTGTTTTTGAACTATTCAGGATCATTACAATTCAATATTCTTTTGTATATACTGTGCAAATGCCAAAAAAAAAAAAGAAAAGAAAAAAGGAAACCAGGAAAAACACACTGTGCTATACAAAAAAAAAAAAAAAACCCAGAAAACCAGATACATCTTTCATAATAGCCTTTCAGAAATTAGATGAATGCTGAGAAGCCCCTGAACTTGGGGTTTTGTTAAACGTTTGGACACCCTCAGCAAGGAAATGGTGAGAGATCTGGAAGCTTGAAAACCACGTCACAACGTTGTGGGCTGGCCAGCACCTGGGACAGAGAAAAACAGCAACATTTGGTTAAGGTAGCCAACCATTCTTGCTTCAGATGTTGAAATATTTCTGAAATTAGCAATGGCCTTTGCCAAAGTCTCTTGCCTCTAGGGAGGGGAAACTTGTCCCCTCACTGCTACTCAACGTGTGGTCCAGGGATGAGCAGTTCTGGCATTACCTAGCGTGAGTAAGAAGTGCAGACTCTTGAGCCCCATCCCAGAACTGAACATGGAGCCCAGCAGAGTTTGGTTGAAATCCTTTGGATTTCATCCTCAACCAAATGATCTCCATCAAGTTTCCTACCATGTCTTCTGGGGCAAAAAAGCAAGAAAATAATCTCTCTTCTCTCAGTTTCTTTAGGTTTTGGTTTCTCTAAGAATAAATACATTGCAACAAGAGGAAGCTGACATATGATCCAGAAATAGGAATGTTAGATTTAGCAAATAAAATACAGAACACCCAATAAAATTTGAATTTTAGGTAAACAACAAATGCACTTTTTAGTAAGTATATCCCATGGGATATTTGGGATATACTTGTACTAAATCCTGAGCATGCAGTATTTGGGACATACACGTACTAAAAAAATTCATTCTTTATCTGAAATTCAAAAACATTTAACTGAGCATCTTGCATTTTATGTGGCAACCCTCTCTAGGAAGGATGGTTTGGGTTCCATATTTCCTGTGGAAACCTTCATAGCATTTCTCCTTGGTGTAGGTACTAGAGTTGTGATGAGGTAATCGCAACACTGGAAAAGACCCCTGGGATTTTGCATTAAATGCATTTCATGAGAGTGAATGATGGAAAAGACACAAAGATACAGTCATCCAACACCCAAGCACAAATGGCACAAGTTAAACACGTGACAGCTTGATTCGTGACAGGCAATTTGTTTTGCACTTCTATTCCCATTTACATACCAACTTAAAAACTGTTTACATTGCTTTTAGGGATTGCATTTTAATATGTTGTTATGCTATTTTTCCCCTCCAAGAGAAAAATTTCATTTAAATGTGACTAGTTACTTGAAGAAAACAGGATTATATATTCAGGTTTTATTATTCCACAAGATGAAATTATTTTATTTCACTTAGAATGCCTATGATGTCAACCACCTCTCATATCTATCCATTTCCCCTCTTCTCAACTCAGGTCAAAATCAAATTAAAAAAAGAAAAAAATTATTTTTAGCCATTTTCCCCATTCGACTCTCTTATTACATTTGGGTCCATTCAACCAGTTTGAGTGTATTCATACTTCTCTAGCCAATTTTCATTCTCTCCACCTCTTCCCTCTGAAGGTATAGTTTCTTCCTTCTGACACCAAGGAAGAAATGAGCAACACTATCAGATGTGTTGGTCATTCTCCCTGTCATTTGTTGACTTACTTAAAGTTTAGCTTAAAATGATACTAACATTTATTTGGAAAAACAAATAGGAGAAAAGAATTAGGAAAATTTGGAAAAAATAATCAGAGAGAAGGTAGCCATTATTGCTCACTATTAAAACATATTATGAAGCTATAATAAAGCTGATATTAGAGAATAAATAGGTTAATAAAACATAATACAATATCCAGAAATAGATCCAAATATATATGGGAACTTGGTTTATGAGAAAGCTGGCATTTCAAATTAATAAGAAAAAAAGAATTATTCATTAAGTTACAGTCACACCACTGGCTAACTGGAAAAAAATGAACCCCAACCACAGTACATTCCTCATGATCAGGTGTTTAACGCCAAAAAGGAAACAAACAATTCTAGGAGAAATCTCAGCTAAATTTATTTATACCCTTGGAGTAGTGAGAGTTTTTCTAAGTAGGTCACAAAACCCAGAACGCAAAAAGGAAAAAAAGGTATGTTTAATTACCTAAAATGAAAATCTTTTCTGTGAAAAAAAAATCACAAAGTGGAAAGACCAATGATAACCACAAAAAGTAGCAAATATAAAATGAAGGGAAATTTGCCTTAATTCACAAAGAACTCATAAAAATCGACTGCCAATAGAATAATGGGCAAAGGATAAAGAAATAAAAAAATGTTAATAGAAAAAGAAATATAAATGATAAACAAATATATGAAAAGATGTTTAAACTCACTTATAATTAAAGACCAAGGATCAAAAAAGCATTAAAGTTTTCTTTTCCTGCCTAGCAGAATGGAAATTTTAAAAGTCTGATGACATCCAGAGCTGACGTTGGCATGGAGAGAGAAAGAGGCTCTCATGTACTTTGCAGAGAGCGTGCACATTTCTGGATGATAATTAGGCAAGTTGCCTGAAAATTTAAAAAGCACATGCCTTTCAACTCAGCAGTCCCACTGCTCAGAATCTACTCTGTGGAAATACTTTCAAACGTTCATCAAGACTTACATATAAGGATGTTCACTGGAGCATTTAAAAAATAATATTAAAAAAAAACTGGAAAAAACTGAAGAGCTCATTCATAAAGAATTAGTTTTAAATTATGGTAAGTTCACACAATGGGACTGTCTGCAGTGATTGAAAAGCCATTAAAGAAAATGAGGAGAAAGAACATGCTATATGGAAAAACTGCCAAGATATATCATTAAGTTAAAGACAACAGTGACAAAAACTAAGTACCACTGTGGCTATGTCATTACCTTTGTGAAATAAAACCCAACATATATGCAGGTCGATGTGTCACACACATATGCGTGCGTGTGTGTGTGTGTGTATACATATACAAACATACCTTCTTCTTCCCAAGAAACTATTATTAGAAAATGATTACATGGTCAACTTGGGAGATTTTCACTTTTAATTTGTTATCTTTCTAAACAATCCAATTTTTCTAGCTTTATATCATTTATAACTTCTAGTTATTTATTCTTTTGAATATCAATATTGGTTATCTAGGCAGAGAAATAATGAGCCTTTTTGCTTTCTTCTTAGTACCTTAGTATTCTAAGCAACATCGTAGTAAAATATTGCATCAAAAATATTAAATAAAGAAAAATCATATCTTTGGTCTATCTCCAAGCATGTTACTTTTCATCTTACAGGACAGTTACAGGAACTCCACGGTTCTTGTCTTTAGATTTGGAATCAAAGCAGTTAACGCCCTTTATATCTGTATACACAAGAGAAAAGCTGCTGGCCTAGATCCAAAATGCTAACTTTCAAAAGAAATGATAACAAAACACCCAAATTCTCAATTAAAATAAAAATCTGGATGAAAAACAAGTCACTGGCATCCAGAGGTGGGTTCAGGTCTGTTCTCTGCTGGCATCCTTCAAGCACTTTAAATTATGAAATAAATTCATATTTACAGCACTTTTCAAATCTGGCTCAACAGTCCTTCATCCCAACAGCACCCTCTTCTGGTTCCATGACTCACATTCAGCAGGTTAATGAGGTTGTGAAAAACTAATTTACAGAAGATGATAGGAAAAAATCACTTTGAATTCAGGGATAAAAGGATTTAATTTTCTTTTCTAATGTATAAAAATGAAACAAATACAAATATAATTTAAATAAAATATAATTATTATATTATACACATATAATATTATATAATGTAATATATTATATATGTATTTGTGTATGTATGTATATGTATTTATGGTGTATATATGGTATATTATTTATCCCATATTTTATATGTATAATACATAGTATAGAAATTAATATTAACACTATGTATATATAATAAGGATTCAGAGGCTAGCCACTGGCTTGTTTCAGATTTTCTAAACAGCAGCTGGGCAACAGCACCCCCTGGTGGCCTCACCCAAAATAACATGAACTTTCTAAAGTAAGAGACTCAAATCATAAAGATGGGAGGGCAGCTGCTCAAGGGAGCTTCCAGGAAGCACGTATCTGTTAAGCTTTTGTTAGTATGTACTAAGGTATTTTGGAGGAGCGCAGGGATTCACAGAGAAGTAGAACCCACCATTCTGTCTCTCAAAGAGCTTTCAATTTAGTCGGGAACAAGCCCATGTTATGTCATGAGACTCTTGAATGTAGGCATGTAGATACTGAGGGGCTGGTGCTGGATCTGAAGAACAGTGGAGCGCCATTCTCCGCACCTGGCCCACCCCTCAAACGCTGCTGGTCTTCTACAGAGACGCCTCAACAAATGAATAGGGGTTCACAGACCTAATATCATCTCTGTCTCTCACTGAAGTCTCTATGGTGAGCTCAGGAGTGTCTCAAACTTGGTCTACATTTTTACCTGCTGGTGTATTACTGCACTTCTGGATAAAAAGAATTTGGCCACATGGCAGCAGTACTTCCAGTAAGAAGCCAGTGTTAAATAAGGGGTTATTTCATTACCATTTCTTTTACCTGGGTGCTAAGAAACCTTTCCTTCCGTGTGGGAGTGTCAACTGACGAGGAGGAATGAATGAATTCCTGAATGGGGGCCTACGAAAGACAGATGCTTGTGCTCACTCGCCTCAAGGTATTTCCCCCCGGGACTTACTTCTGGATCGCATGTAGCAGTCATTACAGTTTAGAAGACCGTTTCGAATCCTAACATCCGTCCCGCTCACTGCATCTCCGAGCTGTCCTTTACAGATTCCACACTGCAGGGTAGAAAGGACAGAAGTTGTAAGGTGCACAAGGGACTGTTTCTCTGTGATGCTTATTGTTCACACGAACAGCACAACAATCACTTCTGCAACCTCTACACGTGTTGAGCGTATGTGTGTTACCTGCTGCACCGAGGTGACTTCCAGCTACGACATACGTTTAGCATTTCATCCTCACTCCTGGCATTTACAGGGGAAGTTCAGACAGTTTAGCTCACTTGTCCAAGGCTGTGAAGTCGGTAACGGCATCGGGTTGATGCCAAAGCCTGTGCACAGCAGCACTCAATCAAAATGGAAGAGCCATTTTAAACAGACTAAATCCTGGTGGTTTTAAGTAGACACATGGCCCAGGAATTATACATTGAAACTTGTCTCTGAATACTCTTCAAATGCTTTTCAGCACTGCCGGTGAGTTCTACCAGACCACAATGACGGGGAAGTAGCCGTTCCGCCTTAAGTTTCCACGTTAGGGCAGTGCCCCCTAGAGTAAGACAGCCACTGGGCATGGGACTCCTTTCAGCCAAGCCAGCCTGGTGCAGAAGGAGACTGAGATACACTGTCCTGGCTGGACCAGAGGCGGCGGCAGTGGGGGTGGCTTCACGCCAGCCTCTCACGGGGGGATCATGACCCAGCCCAGGAGAAGAGGGCCAGCCCCAGACTCATGCTCTTAGTCATCCTGGGCAGAGGGAGGTTTCATCCAAATGATGGTTACAAGCTGCACCTGCATCAGAAGGGTAGGGGATCAATTCCAGAGGGGATGTACCTCAGAGCATCAGGCCAGCTCCAGGGAGTGAATGACGACAGAGAACAAAGGCCTTGACAGACAAGAACACAAGTCCCCCATCTGTTGAGAATCTGCAAAGACTCTTCACCACCTTGATTATTTTGAGTTCAGGTAAAGTTTCTGAGAATAAACCCTGGTGTTGGAACATATTATCTTTGTATTACCGTGATAATTTTAAAGTATCTACCTTGAGTCTCAAAACAGTCCTAGACAACTTAGGATATACATTGTCTATGTGAATTTTACAATGAGAATGTTGATAAATTGAGTTTAATTAAGTCACCATGTTGCGTTTTGTCCCTGATAAGTTTTGCTTTCCAGGTACTACCAACATTATTACATTAAGAATTTGCGGCCAACTTCATTCACTTTCTCTTAGATAGTAGTAGAGTAGGAATTATTTTAAACCCTTTTTAGTTTACTTTATAGCTGAGGGGGCTATCAACAAGAAACAAGACAAAATTGAAGAAGGACAAAAAAAGCACATTAGAGTTACAAAGAGAAATAAATGCTTTTTATTCAGAGCTAGAGGGTTTGGCTTCAAAATTGTATTATTTAATTATAAAAATTATATTAATTTCAAACATGTCCTGAGTGAAAAAAAAGGAAATGCTGGTGTAGTCCAACCTGTACATTTTATAACAAATCAGCCACAAGTGGTTAGCTCACCTACTTATTGACAGGAGATGTGGGACTAGAATCTAGGCCTCCTCATTTTCAGTTATTCATTAACTCAGTCATCTAAAAACACTAATTGGTACCATCTCTGTTGGGCCCAGAGGAAACAGTGGTGAGCCAGACGGATGCAGTCCCTGCCCTTATGGAGGTAACAGTTCATTACAGGAGAGGATGATTAGTTCAGGAGTGAGTGATAAGGACCACTGTAAGGACCTGTAACAAAGGCGGCTGGACTCAGTGGGGTGAGCAGGGCAGCCTCTCAGAGGGAGTGATACTCATTCTATGAATTAACTGTTTTATAAGACACGTTGCACAAATCTGTTTTGCTTCCTCTAACCCGACATCCCGGAGGGATACGTGATCGGAGAGTTTCACCCCGAAGGATGACTCCACGCACACTTCTGTGCACAGCCTACCGTGGGGGCACCTCCCCGGCAAAGCCGCCAGGACGCCCAGAAGGCATCACTCAGTCCAGAATGAGGCCAAACACATCACGACGTTGGGCGTAGGGAGAAGAGTGAAGAACACGTACCCTAAAGCACTGGATGTGGAAGTAGAGACTGAGGGTCTCGATGATCATTGCAGCCCCCTTACCCAGCGGAAGCCCACACGAGGAGCACAGCTTCTTGCCACTGATAGACCTAGGGTGCAAAACACAGGGAAGAGCGAAGGCTTCTGTTCAGAATCCTTGGTCAAACACAAAATATGCTGCCTCATGCAAAAAAAAAAATGAAAACATGGGTTTTTAAAACATTGACATCATTAATGAAATGACAATTAACTGAACTGATAATGAACAAGAATTAAGCATTAGATAGAAGATGAGACAATTGATAGATTACATACAACAGGCCTCCACTGTGGCATGGAATTGTGTGTGTGTGTGTGTGTGTTAGTTATTATAAAAAGTTTGTGTTGGAGTCCATTAACCACAGCAATCAAATGCCTTGAAATGATTCAATGTATTATCGTAAGTTTTCTGAAGTCCTAAAAGACAATCAAGTTTCGCTCTACTAAGGTTTCAGTGTTGCCTTAACTTTTCCCATCATTGGTTCAATGGCCCGGCCCACTAAGGCATTTCTCTTCACTTATTAAAAAATACTTTGCTGTTCTTTAAAAAGAAAGAGGGAAATGTGATTCAGCCCACCAGGTACCAGGCAGGTAAGGGGTCAAATCCCTGCTCTGACACCGAGTTCTGTGAGCTGGTGTGAAGAGCTCACACCGGCATGGGCAGGGGGGCTGTCCTCTGCCGCAGCTGTCCTGCAGCTGAGATCACACCGCAGTGATGCCGACTGCCTGGGAAACTCTTGGAATTACACAAGAAACTTCAAAATACACAGTCTCATTCAGAAGCTACCAGGAACCAGAGACAGAAGAAACAGGAAGGAAGAGGAGAAAACAGGAGGAGGTGCCCTCAGCAAACCCTCTGTATTAGGATTTCCCTCTGACCCAGTAGTGAAAGGAAATTTCTAAATCGAAGAAAACCTGAGTACTCAGTAATTTCTCTCTCCAGTGACTGGGAGCTCAGGCAGCTTTTAAGACCATCATGGGGCCCAATTAACGTCCAGAAGCAATCATTAGAGAGCTTGAGTAGAGTGAGAGAGGGGGTGAAGTTTCGTTCCTCAGCCCCCGCCCGCTTCACTGTAAGAGCCATCAGCGGATCCTGCCTAGAAGGACCGAGCCGTCTTGGAGGGAAAGGCGCCGACAGAGGAGCCCAGCACTTGTCTGGTGGATTTCATTATTAGATTGCAGGTTCCACACAATGTAATTAAAGCCGATGGCCACAGCCGTGCCAGCGTTACACACTTGGCTCTTCCGATCGTGGGCTGATACAATCTTCAGGCGGATGGGGATGTATTCTTTCCTCCTGTGTCTGTGTGTGTGTGTGTGTGTGTGTGAAGAGACACAGGTGGACAAATCCCTCATGATCATCCAGCAGGCACTAATTCGGCTGTGACTGTGCTCGGCAGGCTCTAGTCAAAACAAAGCAGCCTCAGAAAGGCTTGCTGACCCCTTGTACCTGTTTGGTGACTGGCCAGGAGGGGTAGGTGAGCAGGGGGACAAGTGCCCAGCCTGGAAGTTCTCGCGAGGGCTTTTCCTGCAACACGGTAGAGGAGCCAAACATCACGACAAGGAAAGAGAAGCCCAATGCCACAAGAAAAGACATTTCAGGTAAGAACAAAAAAAGGAATCGCCTCTGTGACAACCAAATAAAGGACACACAAAGGACACACAAAAGTTAATTCCATCTAGCAAAGATTATACAGACTAATGTCAAAACCAGCCTGGCATTATTGAACAGAAAAAACAGAATAGCTTCCTACTTTTTATTTCTGCCAGGTTCTTTGCTAGTTAAAATTGTACGTGGAGTCAGATTAAAATTATGGACTGGGTGGGAGGGGAGAGATGAGTAGGGATGTAGGGAAAAGCTCTTAAAGAGAGCCCAGAAATAAAGGGAAGTGCTTAAGGGGGTGTTTTTTAGTGGGGTGGCCTCCTCCCCTGCTCAGAAATTAATCACGGGTACACGTGATCAGGAGTGATGTTCAAAACATTTAATAACTGCTGCGTTATAGGCGTCTACAAAGCAGAATGGTCCCCAGCCAGGAGCTCCTAAAATGGTTTACACATGAGCCCTGCCTATGATTAAGCTGTCAGTTCTGGGCTCTTGCTTTGAAAAGTTAATTTCACTTGTAAAGAAAGGGATAGAACGCAGAAAAGAATGAGGAAAAGAGAAATGCCACATCAATGTGAACAGAGCATGAGGCCATCTGTCCTGTAACTGCTTTCAGAATAACTCCCCGAGCCCCTCCCCTCCCCAGCCACCCTCAGGCAGAGCTTTTCTTCTCCAAACATAGCTTCCCAGGGATGTCCTGAAGTGTAAGGACCACCGCCTCAACAGAGGTTGAAAACCACCATGATAATCAATGACAGTGATGATTCCTTCTACGTGATTTTACCTTTTATTAATTCTGCGTGTCATCTAGACACATAGAAATGAAATTGGATAGACAGAGGAAAAGGGGGAAATGGTTCAAAACTGTACAGAGAAAAACACGTAACAAGAAAAGTAAGATAAAAAGATTAAGTTATAAAGCAAGTTATCATCATCATCATCATCACCATCACTGAGTTTATCAATACCACCACCTACACTGTGTAGTATTTAATACCTGCCAGGCACAAAACCCTACGAGGTGGGTACTGCCAGTGTTCCCATTTTAGACATGAGGAAACTGAGGCAGAGAAAGATAAAGTATCTTGCTCAAAGTTCTATGCAGGCAAGCGGCAGAATCCAAATTTGAATCCTGGTGGTCTGGCTCCAGGTAGCATGACTCGATAAAGTATAATGAAAGTTATATTTTAAAAACTGATTACAAGGGCCCTCTGGCTGAAATATGATTTTACTGTGGAACTGTGGGCTGACTCTGACTCCCTCTACCACTTAACCAGTCAAGTACTTTGGTTAAGTCATTTAATTTCCTTGAGACTCAATGTCCTCATCTGTAAAATGTGAATAATAACCCAATAAAGTTATTGGGAGAGTTCAGTGAGTTAATATATAAAAAGAAGAGGAGAGAAATATATGTAAACTTTTCAACATAGTGTCTATTAATATTGGTATACTTTGAAAATAATGGGAATTATTACTATTGTGAAAAAATACAATTCTTACAAAATTAGAATGGAACCTGGGGTAAGTTACTTAAGGGGAAAAAATGGTAATGAGACAAACACATTTTTTTTCCTTGAAAGAACGTTTGTCAATAGGCTCTGAGACAATTTAACTCACTTAAATAAGTTGCTCATGCAGCAGACCTGCAAAATCTTTCCAATGCTTAGATTTGTGGGTTAAAAATCTTTCTTTGCCTCTTTTCAGTTGCTAAATTCAGAGTAAATATTTACTTGCCAGGAAGATTGTCCCAAACTTCCGCAAATATTTATTCCCTTGTCAATGACAGGCAATGGAGTGACAAGCACAAAAATGCTGCTAACATCTTGCCATCTCACACTTTTTCAGTTTTCCCCCTTAGTCAATTAAAAGAAAAAAGAAATTCCACATCCATCTTATTTGGTTACTCACTTTCGTCTTTCACTTGGAGACTCAATCTGATGGTTAATGGTCTTATCCAACGAGAGGGTTTTGGGCTTCACATCTTCTAAAATGTGCGTTGGTGGGTTTGATACCTGCTGATTCTGGGATGGATCTAAGGCCAAGTAAAGAGCATACACTTAGTGCTCAATAAAGGCATCACCTAGTGCTTAGTAATCACCTCGCTTTTAAGCGCTAATGCCTCCTGAGGTCCCACAGTGATTTCATGGAGCCTCTGGACACATGGTGGTGGAATTTTGTTCACTGTGCTGTTTAGCACAAGCTGGAAGAGAAGCCTGCAGCCTGAGAGGCCATATCTGTCTGGACGATGTGGGGGTGGGGGTTGGCTGGTCTTCTCCATTCTCACCCTGAGCTAGCTGTGGGTTCACCCCACAGGGCGGGGACCCAGCGTCCGTATCCAGCGGATGGTCCTGATGGGTTCCTTTTGATACAGGGTTCTCAGAATGAGTCAAGACTCCTTGAGTTAGGCTGTTAAAATAAATAAATGTATTTCAGAACAGGGATAAAAGCAACTGAACTAAACTTACTGATCTTACCCTCAGGACATGTAAGTACCAATTACAATATGAAAAAAGAAATGGGGCTAACTAAATATTTATTTTTATTTTAAATTAGATTTAACTTGGATTTAAAATACTGTAAAATGCTATTCATTTTCATTATCTATCAATTTAACAAACTTAAGTGGGACACCACGGCCTCTTCTTAACCTCCAGACACATTAACCCTTCAGACACATTAACCATTTCCAGTGAGCAATATTTTAGGTTTGGGACTCTGAATAGACAGTATACTCCTTTGATGATCTATACTGCCTCTCCTTATTTAAAAAAAGGTTTTAGCTATTTAAATATAAGGCTATTTATATTCAGTAGCATAAGGACACTGACTTCAGAGCTGTTAGAATGTGTTCAAGCAATAGTATACGCATAACGTATTATTGAAATGATCATTTCAAAGCCGAATATGATTTGCATTAGTGATGGGCATCTTTCCTGGGGTGAAGGGGTAGAGCCTGGCTTTGTGCAGGTGGACGGTCAGCCTGGTTTGGCTCATACCTGCCCTTTTCCTCCAGTGGGGCACCTTCCTGAGTCTTTAGCAATGAGTCACTGTTGTCCCCCTGGAATGGTTTCTTCTGTCTTATCGTTTGCTCTTCTTCTCGACAGTTTTCCAAGTCCATCTTATTCTAATGGGGAAAACAAAGATAATCTTGAATATAATTTTTAAACACACTGACAATACATGTATCTGGCCATGGGATATTTGAAGCAGTTTTTCAATCATGTTGCCTACAATTTAAAGACAGTCATCCAAATTAATTAAATAGCAACTGATTTCCAACAATTTGAAATGAACATGTCATCTGGGTCTCTCTCAAAAGTTACCATAAAAGGGAATTGGCTAGAAAGCCCATCTTTCAAAATAAAACAAAGTCATATTGTTTTGAACTTGTTCATTTCGGGACAAGTGGCTTTCTAGTGCCCAGGCAGTTCTTTTAAAATACAGACTATGGAGTTTAACCTTTAAAAATTGTATAAAAATAATTTTTAAAAAACCTTTAATTTAAACTTTCAATAAAAAATACACTTCAAATTTTGGCATTTAAAAGTGGCTGGTGGATACTGAAAAGCTGTTGGACAGGGTAGAATTCCTTTGATTATAATATATAAACAACTTATTTTAAAATCTAGGAAATGTTTCATATTTTAAATATCATTATAGTACATGAAAGAGATATGAAAGGTTTGACTTTGTGATAATCTGTGTATACAAGAGCAAATATAAGCAATAATCTGGACTTTCTGAGTAACTAGGTAATACTGAATTTAGTTGATTGCTTTTGTGCAATCTTAATTTGCATAAAGTGGATAATTAAAAAAATTGTAGTGTATTACAGAATACCCTAATTGACTATATAAATAAGAAATATGACATACACAAGTGATATTATACTTATGTTTATTACAAATGAATTTATTCTGTTTTTGTACCATCAAAAAATAAAACGCAGATTATGAACGACCCAGGTCTTGGTATGACTTCTGCCCACCTGCCTCCACGACCTTCCTTGGGGGACACGGAGGCAGATCAGATTTTCTGGACCCTCTCCATCCCTTAAAGACATACATATATATTTCACGTAGAATTTTAAGAGTGATTTAGAAGCAACTTTCATGGAGGCTGGTGGAGAGCATACTATTGGCATCCTGCTGCTAGCATCCAGTGCAAAGAGAGAAAGACATGTCTGTTGACTGAATGAATGCTAGGCCGTGAGGAGGACATTCCAGCACATGGCGTCACTAACCAGGGTTTGCCAGCCAGCACAGAGACTTTGGTTACCAGCCGGGGGGGGACAGATCTGGCCTCCGTAACGTCTTTACTACTTCTCAGGAACTGACTTAAGGGTTAGGCTGTGGCAATGACAGTACCATGGGGTGCAACGGCCATGTAGTAGCTGACATGATTCTAGAGAAATAGCCAGTCCTGGATTTAAGCTGGTGGAAAATTTGGCCTTGTGGTTTTGTGCTTCTATGTTGGATTATTTATTCCACAAATTGCTTTTAATCTATGGTCTCACCCCTGTCCCACTGCCTTCAGTCACAGAGGAGGATGTAGACAGCTGGTCTGCAGAACTTGAAGAAATAGTAAATGGAACCACAGTGTCCTCAATTATTTTTCGCTCCTAAGGGGAAGGATAGGAATTAATGAAAGAGGAAAAGTGAAAAATCTTACTTATCAAGAGAAAAATTTCATTAAGGAACTTTAGGGGAACATTGGAATTATGTGCAAATAAGCAGGTCACTTAAAAAAAGTTCTTATTTTCTAAAAGCATGTAATCACATAACGCTCTCTACGGGCAGTGATTTAGAAATTAGCATTTAATTTAGGAAAATAAAATTTTTGCCAATTAATTACTTTGTGTGATTCAAGAAGCCTAATTAGAAATGCTTTTGGGGGATCAGATTATGCACAAAAATTATTATTGAAGATAAAATTCACAACAATATTAATCTTAAACAAACTTTAGATAATATACATAAAGTGTAGCTCCCTTCAAATTCTCGAATGTGGTCTGGTTTGTTCATCTAAAAAAAATGAAACAAAACCAAATTCTCCTCCCCTCTGAATCTCTTTAGTACCATGTAGTGAATGTGGTAGTAAGAGTTCATTTAGCCTCGATTATCAAAATTAGCCTTGTAAAATTAATATTAAGCCATTACTACTAAACATGTTTGCCTCAAACAAACACACGAGTAAGTAAATTGATCCTTTGATGTCATCTCTCCAGGATAAATCAAGAATCTGACTCTGTGACTAGAGAACAGATATGGTTATATTGTCTCCTTTGACAGTGACTCGATGCCCTAGCCACAGACTAAATTTGGGAGAATAGTGATCTTTTAGAGCCTATAGGATAAGACCCTTTCGAAAGGTTGATGGGGTTCTGCTGTGACATCGCCACATGCACGCACATCCCACAGCCACGGGAAGTGCTGATGGACTTTGAGGAAGTGGGGCTTCACAGTCAAACTCCTCCTGGGGAATTTCCTACCTCCTCGTGGTATCGGCGTTCTTCCTCTTCCACCTCCTTTTGGGCCTTTTCCCATTCTTCTTTCAGCTTGTCCTGCTCCTTCTGGTATCTCTCCTGTTGTGGAATTTCCATAGATTGTTCTGAACTGACCACTGCATGCATCATCGGGACACTTCCCCCACTGAACCATCATGTATAATGTGTCACAAGACTATTACTATCTCCTTGTTGTAACGTTCTGAATCTAACTCATTCACGCAACAGAAGGGGAAGGCCATTTGTGGTCCTCAAACATATTAGGGACATAAAAATCCAACAGAGAACAAGATTTTCTGCTGAGAGTGTTTCACAGGATTGTTTTTCTATGGTCAGACAGCCGCTTATGGAAAGAGAAAAGATGAAAAAGCAGAGAGATTCTAAAATCTTTCTTAAATTGGTTTTGTCCTAAGAGGTAGGTTAAACCAAGAGTTTGCTTTTACTGGGCTGTTCAGAGATGAGTTTTGCCATCCCACCAAGAGAAATACGTTGCTGCTGGGAGAGTTTACTAAAAGATAAAAAAACAAACAAAAAAACACCTCTCATAGGTTTGTAAGATAGACAATGGAGAAAGGTTCAAAGTGGACAACATGATAATTAGCTTAGTAGTAGCTGAATTACTCTTTGCTTGCAGCCATTCTCCTAAAATGGACTCTTCCTAGCTTTATGTCCTTCTGAATTAAGAGTAGCTTTTAAACAGCCCGTTAGAAGCCTTCAAAACCAGAACTGCTATCAGTTTTCAGAAACAATACAACACTAGTCACCACTTTGGGGGGAAAAGGTAAAATACTCTAAGATAAGGATAGTAACGGTAAGGATAGCTTTAAAACTGTGACTGGAGTCCCTGACACTGACTAGAAGAAATGTGTTCATGGAGATTAAAATTAACGCTTCCGATGAGAACTGACACCCCTGGATGCCTTGGGAATTGCATCCCTGACACGTCAAGAGACAGAGGACTCACTGGACTGTACCACACACAATCAAATATTTTAGGCTGGTAACTGTCAATCCTCCCTCTGAAGCTAAGACAAGCCTGTGCTTCCATCTTCTTGGGGAAGGCACTGAGGTGTCCTCCAGGCATCACTTGTTAGGTCATCATCGTAGACGCAAAAGGGCTTTATTGGGATTGTCTAAAGCCTAATGTTCCTATTTACCTTCTGGCAAAACCACTGTTGGTCAACAATGTTGTTATCAAAACTTGATGTAAAGTTTTAAAGAAGTTCTTCAGGAGGTTTCAGAATGTTGGAAATAGACCTTAAAACTTCACAAAAGCCAAAAACAAGCAAAGCTCAATAGGTTTATTGGTTCTAGAAGCTCACATCACATGCTTCCTGCACCAAGTGGATGAACTGATGATGCAGGAAGTGAAAGATATGATACAACTATCACACACACACACACCCTTCCTTCCCCATAAACACCTTGCTGTAAGCCCACAGTCCACACCTTTCAGAGTGTAACAGACAGAGAGCCACCATGGGAACATACCTGCCTGTCTTCACTGAAATTTCTGACTCCTGTTGTTCACCATTTATCTGAGGAATGGGCATCTGATTTCCAGGAGAATAGCAGATGACCAGGACTGGTCTGGGGTCTCCAATGGCCCTAAAAGTCCCAACAGCCCTGGGACTGTGCTGAATCTAGTTCTTACTAACAATTTTGTACTTAAGGTATACTCTTATGTAATTTTGAAAAGTGTCCAACTTAACGGGCAGACCTAGAGCCACACAACAATTGACTGAGTATCTAGTTGACTCCTGCTCCCCACCCTTGGGAATTAAGCCAAAGGGTTAGAACAAAGAGATAAGAAAAAACAAGCAAAATAAACTTGCATTAAGCATTGCTTTCTACGCAGCGGCAGAGAGTCACAAAAATTAACATTCTTTTTCTTTATGACTTTTTGGGTAAAATCAATACCATTGGGAGTGGAGTGGGAAGAACATGCGGTTTAGAGTCATCCAGGATTGGATTTGAAACAAGGCTCAACATTTATTAGAGATGTGACCTTACACAAATTATTTAACTTTTTTGAGCTTTAATTTCTTCAGTTGCAAACTGAGACTAATAAGACATACTTTGAAGAGTTTTGTGAGAGTTAAATTAGATCAAATACGTCAAGCACCTACAAATATGCCAGTCTGGCACATCCCAAGTACTCAGCACAGGTTAGGTTTCTAAAGTTACTAGGTTACTTTTTGAAGCTCTGTTGCTCTACAAAACTGGCAGAAAACAAGTAGAAGCATGGTAAGTTTACAGCCAGAATTTTCCTAGCATTGAAAATTAGCAGCTTTTGCTCAAAGAGGGAGTAAACGTTTCTACTTAAGGAGCAAGACCTAGACCGAATTTTATTTCACGTGTATGCTATCAAATAGCTTTCTGATGATTCTTTCCCACCCCTTGTGGACTGGAATTTGATTGACAGCTAAGGAGGTGACAAATGGGTGGGGTGGCCCTAAATCAATACTTGGATTTTTTTCGAAGTGCAACGTTATTTTCCTTTTTTGATCATCAGTGTAACCTCTGGTCAGAGGAATTAGATAAAGGGCATTCTTGCCTCATGGATACAAAATGAATGGACTTAGACTCAGGACTTCCGAGAAGAAGCCGATTCCATGCATTTCCTCCAACAAACATCTATTTAATACAACAGAAATTAAGAGAAAGAAAGAAAAAGAAGAAAAAACAAAGCAGCAAAGCCGGTCCTACCTGGAGCAGACGTTCCTGCTCCTGTTGCCATTTCTCCTGTCGCCTGCGCTCCTCTTCCGGGTCCCACGCCCAGAATTTAAACTGCTTGGAAGAAAAAACCATGATCAGAATAGGGCCATGTCCCCAGCGCCACGCCAGGGCATGGGACATGCAGAAGCAGAAGCCTCCCCATAGCTAAAGGCGCTCTCTGTTGGCAGAACCCACTTTAAAATCTTAGTCCCTCTTTGAGTTACTTCCAAGACGCTGGTATGATTCTGTGAACCTTTTTGGAGCTAACGAAAACATGAAGTAATTAGCCACTGGCACGGGAAGGCTTTCGCTGCATTTCTTTTAGAAGTGATTTCTTAAACGTATTCACGCTCCTCAGCATGAGACACTCATTCTGCCTATTGATCCTGGGTCCAAGCAAACAGGAATGCTTATTTCAGCAGAACTGCATTTTGTGAAAAGTGCTGTTCGCTGCCCTGCAGAACTAGTCTTTTCCACTGCCGCTGCTTTTCCACACCGGCTTTCTCTAAAGTAGGTTATTCAACCCACCAGCATCACCAGAGATCCAGGCAAGCAGAGTCCCTAACGGGGGGCCCACATAAGAAACATGCAAAGCCAAAGACTTTTTTTTTTTTTGGTCTTTTAAAAAAAGTTTCTGTGATTTTGGGAGCCAAGAGAGTGAGCGGGAATAATGGAAGATGCATGCATGAACCAAAGGGGGAACCCAGGCGACGGAATCTGAGACTAAGAGGGTCCCGCAAATGGAATATCTTATAAATTAAAATCACACTTAATGCATGATCTTATTTCTTTAAAGGAGTTACTTACAGGTGTAGTCACAGGTGACTTTTCACTGCTTGGAGAATCCACTGTACAGAGAAAGGGGAAAAGATCACAATGTGAGTGGCTTCAAATTGTCTTTCTTTTTGATCCTCTCAGCAGAATGTGGTTGCTATGTCAGCTTCAAACCATTTTTTTTTGGGTGGGAAGCCAAGGGCATTAGAAAATCAAAATAAAGCAGACCCCTGAAGCGGTTTGTACCCATCACCGAAAGTGTAGTACATCAGTTAGCACCAGGTACTAGAGGCTAGGAAGCAAAATCTATTCCTACAAGTGCTGGTTTCAGTGCTCCCTGCACTCTGGCTTGAGTGACCAGTTCCCTCACTGTCCAGCCTGGGGAAGTATCACACAGAGAGAGGCCAGGTGTCATCCAGGAAGTGGACAGAGTGACACAGTTAACAAGAGAGCCATTACCAGTCCCTGGTAAATGCTTCTCATCTTTTTTTTTTTTTCAAAGAAGAGGACTATAAAGAAAGAGGTGAATATTATTATTTCTTTGGCTTTTCAAAGTCAAAGTAAAATTCTGTGAATTTGCTCCCCAGTTTTAGTGTAACTGGTATGGATAACAAAGAACTAGGTCTTTGCTAACTGTGTGCCAGAAATAAGCATGTTCCCTGCCTGGAATCAGAAATGAAGAAAAGAACCACATATCATTGGTTGCCCGCAACATGGATTTTTGCACAAAAGAAATACAGCTACTCAGTATGCATTTTACCTGACTGCGAGAAAAACTGGGAACGTCGCCAAGAGTTCTGAACTCTCAGCGGAACGCTGGCAGTGCCAGGTGACTCTAGATCAGGTGGCAGGACAGAATAAACAGAAAACCATGAAAACAGGGGGTGAGGCTTCCCAAGCACTAACGGAGGACCGGCTCTCGTTCATACAAGAACTGAGAGTAAGAAAATCTAAAGTCTAAAATGTCTCAATAAAACACAACACAACTTGAACAAGTGACAAAAGTCAATAGAAATGGGTCAGCTTATGCTACTATTTGTCTTCTTTGGTGCTGGCTGGGATTTTAGTGGCTCATACTTAGTGGTATGATATTGTTAAAATGCTGCATCTCGAAATGATCAGATGATGTGCTGTGAAAGCACAGTTTACATTGCTTTTCGAGAACCCTAGAAAAGTATAAAATACAGCAGAGATGAGTTCGATTATTCTTCGTACACTTTATAATGGTTATTATGCAAGTCTGGTGGAACATATGCAT